ACACATTTTGTTTTAAAGCTATTTGAGGCTGGAATTTGTCTTCCTCTTCACAGACTAGTATTCAGTTTTTGCTCAGAACTTGAATTAAAGCTGCTCTCTTTAAAGGGCCACATTTCCTGCTGCATATAGCTTTACAACAGATATTTAAACCTTTGCTATCTTGCAACCATCTCATTGTTGATAACGTTTGTCAATGTAAGTCTGATGTCCTGATATATTATTTTACTGCACTTTAACTATGTCATTAATTAACAAAAAAGAATTACTTTCAGGTAGGCTTGTGACTCTCTTAGCTCACTCCTAGCTGAATTTCTCACTTCTGTCTCCTAAAAGCAAACTGCTTAATTGTTTTCAAAGTGTGCCAAAGTCTTCCTGAAACTAGGCTGAGGTCTGCATGCCATCTTTGGACTACCCTGTCTAAGCTGCAGCACAATCCAAACCTTTGCTCTTTCCCATAGTCTGAGACCCTCTGCATTCCCTGGTCACACTATTCCTAGACTTTTGTGCTAGGATCAGTGTGGAAAAGTTTCCTACTTTATGGAAGAGAGTCCTCTATTTAACAGGCTGCCAGGGGATCATCCTTTAGTCTCTTCCATTTGAAGGGTTGCCTGGTCCGAGTTGGGTAAAGGAAAAGTGCACAAAGGGAGAGCTCCTGCAAGCTTTGAAATTGCCTGTCCAGGCAGCAGCATCTAGTCATGATTTTCTCAAGTCTGGTATGATGCATCCTATTTCTATTCACATATAATAGCATACATAGAGATTATAGCTTTCTGTGCCCTCCTTTTCAGTCATATGTCAGTGGCTAGCCAGTACATAAACATCCATTCAGGTGACCTTACTAACTACACAACAGACAAAGAACAACAATAGCACCAGCACCACCAATATCTATTGCCTGCATTAATCTTTTCACAACTCCACAGCACCTTCTGTCCCCAAATATACAAACATCCTTCCAAGGCTATTGCCATCTTACCTGTTCCCTCAGAGTCCGGTAGAAGATATGCTAGATTCAAGAACTTGCTGTTGTGTCTAGAGAGAAAAAAGGCCTCTATAAATACCCAAACATATTCTTTCTATGAGGTGGCATTATGTAGCAATCATTTAAAAAAACAAACATATGTGGTTCCTGATTCAAACAAAGGAATACCATTTAAAAATAACAACAGCAAAAATAAACTCTGCATAAAAAGTATGAGGTGGCATATACAAGGCTGATTAAAAGAAAGCAAAACAAACTGGAAAAAGAAACAAAAACAAAAACTGAAGAATCCAAGGGTGGAATAGCTCCTTGCATGTTTTCCCTTCCTTGAATGGAACCACTTTTTAAAAAATAAGCTCAAGGAATGGGTGATATTACCAGCTAATTATTATATAACAGGAATTGGGGTTGATATATAATAATAATTATTATTAATGATAGGATAATTAATTATAGTAATCAGGAGTTGGGGCTGATAATAATAATAATAATAATAATAATAATAATAATAATAATATAATTTGCAGCATGATACTGAAAAATATTTGTTTCATTTCAAGTTTACCTTCCCACATGTGTGACCTCATACATGTCTATTTTTCTATGCATGCGAGGAAGCTGTGATGGGTCATGTGAACATATGAAGTTGTCCTCTGAGATCATGTTTTCATCTCTTATTGGCAGCCTCTCCCCAATCACTCAGGTATTTCCTCAGCCCTGCTACTCTGATCCTTCTAAATCAAGATATGGGCTGAGTGCAGACAGCATAATAACCTACATTCAGGGACTGAACTGAGTGTGGGTTGTTGGTAAACATGGGTTATTGAGTTGTCTGAACCCAGCAGTGATAATAAAAGTTGGCAAACAGCCCACTGCTCACAGGCCAGCAATAGACCACTGGTTCTCATCATGGACTGCTCATGGTTAACAAGTCGGGGACTGAGGCAACACAAGAACCCACTTTCCAACAAGAACCCACAGCTCAGCAGCAGCTCTCACTCAACCCACACACAGTCCTTCTCTGAATCCAGTCATTAAGAGCTGAACTTGGGGTCTTCTAGATGCCAGGCAGCTATTCTACCAGAAAGCCGCACACTACTTCCATTTGTGGCTAGGCTGTGTGCCCAGATTACTTCCAGGAAGAGATGTGCATAAGCAGACATCACATATGATACCCAGCAGATTGTTTTCACACTATTTCCTACATAGGAAAAAAGGAGTTTCACACAAGTTCAGATATGCAAGTTCCCTTTCTTGATGTTAGAGTGGAAGCATGGGTGTTGGTTTGTGTGTGGGTGTGGTGGAAAAATAAGTATTTTTATGATGTACTTCTAAAAAATGTGGGTGAATATTTATTTATTAGATTCATATCCTGGCATTTTTTTGGTTTGAAGAACTCCAAGAAATCTTACATTATTCTCCCCTTCCCACCCTTAATCTTATTCCCACAACAACCTTGTGAGGCACTCTGGGCTGATAGTCTGTGCCTGGCCCAAAACCACCCAGTTGGCTCCATGGTTGAGTGGGGACTAGAACCCAGATTGCCTGAGTCCCATGCTTTCAACCACCACACTTCTCTCTCTCTCTCTCTCTCTACACACACACACACACACAGAGGTTCTTCAAAAGTTTCCCCACTTTTAAAAACTCTATTTATTAAGAATTTTAAAAACAAATTACATGACTTTTCTACATAGTCTCCTCCCTTTGTGATGCATTTTTCCCAGCATCGTACTAACTTTTTAATGCCATCAGCAAAAATATATATAAAAAGATTTATAACATATAAAATGTAAAAGTGAAGAAACTTTTTGAAGATCCTGTGTGAGTGTGTATGTGTTTATATACATGTATTTGTGTCATGAGTCACTGAATCTCAGTCATCTCTTTTAAGAAGTGATCAGGTATTATTTCAAAAAGCCAAGGTGTGTGTGTGTGTAAAACACCAGTAATTCCTGCTTTCGGGCACAGGTATCAACATGTGATAAGATGCTTCTTCTGAATGCCTGCTTCTCCAAATGTTTGTGACCATCATACCCCTTCCCTGAAGATCCACCTATCAAAACGCAGCAGGTGCTGTTTTGATGACCAAACTACCAAAGGCTCATAGCCACCAGACGGTTGGTGATAAGATTAACCCTTAGTCTAGTCCAGGGGTCGGCAACCTGCAGTTCTGGAGCCGCACATGGCTCTTGAACCCCTCTGCTGTGGCTCCGTCGCTCAAAACAGGTGCCGGCACAGCCACTGATCTGCTCGAAGCTCCACTCAGGAACCCAGCCCTAGTTAAGTAAATCAGCTAGTTAAGTAAATAGCTACATTCCTCTGCTAAACAAGCTTCCTGCAGGCTCTCATGTTACACGAAACAGAATCCCGGCTGAAAGGATTCCCCTTGTCCCAATGTAATCTCCTTCATCTGAATGTTAAAAGCTGTGCATGGGACCTGTCACAATTCGCAGCACTTGACTGTTTATCTGCTAATCAGTCACTAAACACACCTATATCTCTGGCACAGCCAATTGGCCGGCCGACATGCGCCGATTTACTGAGCTCCCCCACCTCCCCCATGGGCCAACCATGGATAAATCAAAGAAAAGAAATGTTTCTGAAGAAAACCAAACGTTTAATGATACGTGGGTAGATTCATTTGCTTTTACTGTTGATGAACTTATGGGGTTTGCTGTTTAATGCATGCAGCCCTTTAGCACTGACTTTGACTCTTCAGGAACCTGTTCTCCTATTCAAAATATATGAAAGGAGTTCTACTAGTTTATAATGCAAGATTAAAAATAACAGCTAGTGACTGAACAAGAGCTGCAGCTAAATCATAATGAAGATATACATAGCATTAAGGTTAAAAATGATATATGCAGTGTTATCTTCATTTTAGATGTCAAAAGTGTTTTGCTGCTCCCGGTGTTTTCTTTTGTGTGGGAAATGGGTCCAAATGGCTCTTTGAGTGTTAAAGGTTGCCGATCCCTGGTCTAGTCTAACAACTGTATCGAAGGAGTTCTGCCCAGTGTTAGTCCTACTTATGTCTCATTCATTTTAATGGG